CCCATTCATATCCTTATTACAGGTGAGAAAACTGAGGCAGAAGAGATTTATTTACTGGCGGGGGTCAAACAATTAGCAAGAGGCAGAGCATAATTTGAACTGAGGTGATATGAATCCAAGGTTTTATATCTTAGCTTTCTTACTGTACCACCTCCAAAATAACATTCTATAAGAACATTTCTGATAACACTTTTTTTTCCTTGTCTTTACTTTTACTTTAAAAGATAAAATATTGAAAAGCAGAAAATTAAGAAATATCTTACCTGGGTAATACTGGACATCATTTATTGCTGTTTGTATAATTTTTTTTTTCTTTAAGTCTTAAGCATCTTACCTAGATCCTGTATCCCTACAGGGAGAGCCCTACCTCTCTTCTGTCATTTTCAGTACCACATTGAATTTGCCATGATTAGAATGTGTTTTTTGTCTCTACATCTTTGTTGAAGTTACTCTCATCATGGGCATGAATTGCTAGTCACTAAATCCTTCCATACTTTTTAGTTCTCATCATACTTTATGGCATTTTGATAATTCCCACTCCTTTAAAAAAATTACCTCTCTTTTCATGATGTTCTTTTTTTCTTGGTTTGCATTCCTGCTTTCTGATTATTTTTCCTTAATTTCCTTGATGATGTATTCTTTCTCTTCCCACCCCTTCAATATAAGAGTTCTCAACAATTGCACTCTTCCTCACACTCCAAATATTATCTCCAAATAAATCTGACCTAACTAAAGCTTGCAGCATTAATGTGTATACTAATGTCTGAAAAATATGCATAGAAAGCTCTACCTCTCCTTTGAGTTCATTTAGTAAACTACCTACTCCCTACTCCCTACAGGACATCCCAAAGGAATTTTACACTCAATTGTGTCTCAAAAGAACTCATTATTTGATCTCAAGAAAACCTCCTGTATTCTTTATCCCAGAGTCTAACATGACCATCTATTTAATAACTCAAGGTTGGAATCTATTTGTTATTTTCAAGATCTCCTTTGTTCTCATGTCCACAGCCAATGAACCAAAACAGTCTACATGATAGAATGCTACAGTAACCTTCTAACTGGCCTCATGGAATATTTGTCACCATTAAAATCCATTCTTTAAACTGCCTTCAAAACAAATATTTCTAAAACAAAACAGGTCAGACTACTCTTTCATTGAAAACAGTCATTGGCTTCCTATTACCTGTAAGACTTAAAACAAACTTAACAAACGAGAACCTTTAAGAGGTAGCGTTTGACCGCCTGTCTAGATTCATGACCTCTAGATACCAGTTTACTTGCGATTACACGTGCCTTTACACTTTCCGCCCATTCTGCTCAGGATGCATCTATATGTGAAATAGTTACTAATACGAAAATAAATATTACCCCTTTCTCTGAGAGTTTTGCACTTCACTCTACTACTTCTATGTTTGACGGTATGATATTAGCACATTACCTGGTCCAGCAATTGTGGTTATTAGTTTATATTTCTGTTCCTTTCACTTACTTCATAAAGCAGCAGTATACAGCACGATGTATAGCACATAGTGATGTTCAACAAATATTTTTTGAACCACACTGAAATTTCATCAATTTCTGCAAATATGAAGGGAAGAAGATGTTTCTTCATGGTGTTATAATAGCTGGTTGTCAGTCAAATCAATGAAAGTTATAATTCAAGCTAATTAAAGGCCATGATGAATTGAAGCAATCAGTTCCTACCAAGTATGTTTAACTGTTCAATTGGTTTGTCATGATAAAAACGTAACTTCATTTTAGTTGAAAAAAAATCTATGATTTCAGAGGAGAAAACTCATACTGTCTTGATCATTTGGCATTTTCGGGTAACTCTGCTGCCGTTTAAATAGAACTTGAATGGCGTGGCTTATCCTACTTTCCTTTTTTGCACCAAAGAAACACGGAACAACTGGAATACCCTATCATCCGATGTTTCAAGCCAATTATTTAAGACCTGTAGCTGTCATTGTAATACTGAACTTCCTCCGTTTACCCAGAAGAAGCACACTGACATTCATCACCATGCTGCAAGGTAATGTTAGCTTGCAAGTGTCATGTTTAAACTTTTAAATATGTAATGTTTAATTTACCTTAGTTTGCTTTAGAACTATTTTATACTTAATCCCTTATCTTCAATTTAGACAACTAATCGCTTTTGAAAAATTACACTAGTCAATTTCATTTTTCACTATATGGTAAATCCTGATAAGTAACTCTCATTTATCAATGATACTCAGCTTTACATTAACAATTTTCAAGACATAATACTTTCGGTAACAGTTGTCTTTGGTGACGCTCAAATTAGGTGTAGAAGGTGAACGATATAATGAACTAGATTAAAAGTACAAAAATGGAGAATTCTATTAGGATTAAAATAAGAAAATGATATATCTAAGGATATTACATAAAAGTTGCCATTAGTCTTTACATGGAATAAATATTTCACATGTAAATAAAATGATGGTTACCTTTACTTGAATGACCAAAATGAATCAGTCTTGTTTTTTAATAGTTACCTATTGGTTATTTTATTATTTTGCTTCTTGATAAACTAATACTATACTTTCAACATTTATTTTTTTTAAAAATGCAGTTATAACTGTCTGCACAGATTTTTAACCAGTATAAAAAATGAAACAGAAATGCAGCTGAAGAATCAGATCTATAAATACAGACAACAAACTGGTGGTTGCCAGAGGGAATTGGAGGTAGGGGATAGGCAGAATGGGTGAATGGGAGTGGGAGATAAAGGTTTCCAGTTATGGAATGAATAAGTCACAAGAATAAAATGTGCAGTGAGAGAATATAGTCAATGGTATTGTAATAGCATTGTATGGTGACAGATGGTAGTTACATTGTGGTGAACATAGCATAATGTACAGAAATATTCAATCACTATGTTGTACATCTTGAAACTAATGTAACATTTTGTGTCCTCTATATTCAAATTTAAAAAAAAATTTTAAATAAAATTAATGAGGCTGATCCCAAACAAAACAATATGTGAAGAGATTATGTAGAGTATTGCCTAAGAGTGTGTTAAGTGCAATTTTAAACTACTTACAGCCAGTCCACTTTGCTTTTGTTAAGACTTCACTCATCTCACCCATGGGCATTATAATAAGCTTCTCTAATTTCCTAATACTAGACGCCCAAAGCCAGCTCAGAATTGGATATTACTATAGTAGAGATTTAATAAGCAAACCTTAGTACATCTTTCCTGTTTAAAAATCTTTGATGTCTCTCTATTGCTTATAGAACAAAACTGAAATTCCTTATCGTAGACATAAGGACCTTCAAATACATCTACAGTTCACCTTTCCAAACTAATCCCTATCCTCTGTTTCTCCCTAATAAGAATGCTATGGCTCCCAAATGTTGAATTTTCTTGGCCATTTTCAACCATAATATATTTTTCTTCTTCTTCTTCTTC